TTGTACTGATGATTTGATTAGTTAACAAAATAACACACACACACACACACACACACACACACAGAGAGAGAGAGAGAAGAAAGAAAACCAGTTGTATCTATCTGCAGCAGCCAATTGGGCTTAAATTAATGTTGCTACAAAGGCTTCTGTCGTAATTCATTTTCATTACATAAAATCCTGTCTCAATGCAGTGTCTGATGATGGCAACATCATTGTCTTCTGAATTAGTTGGGTGATGAGTGTTTTATCATGTGGCACTCTGAATTAGCAGTTAAGTTGTTAGTCCTGTTGTTCTCTATGGTTCAGCAGTACATGGGTTGTAAGTGTATGTATATCATTAAGGATGGGAAAGGAATCTGTTTTAAATGGATTTATACATGAAATCTTTTGGTTCCGACCCAATTTTTGCCTGCATCAGATCGCCTATTTCTTTGAGCAATCACTTATGTCTTAAATGCTTTTTCTTGTTGGTTTTTTTAACATAAAGAACTGACTATTTGCAAAATTTTACCCCAAAAAAGTACATGATCAGCATCAGGTAGCATGCAATATAGAACCCAAAGGGCTGCTGCCAGCCAAAGTAAGCATTACTGAGCTCTGTGGAATAATAGTCTGATATGGTATGAGGCAGCTTCCTAACAATAACTACATTATATAATTACAAAGCCCAGCTAATTATATGTAAAAAAATAAAATAAATCACATGTGCATTAGGGCTCTGTGCCTGTTTCAGCTGAGGCCTGAGCCATATCAGGCACTTTCAGCCAGGGACTCAAAAAATGGGTACAGACAGTCAAGGCTGCTGCAAGTCAGATTGGATGGCAGACAGTGGGAAAACTGAGCTTAATCAAATGTAGCTTTAGGAGGGCTGCCACACATTACCGAGATTTCAAAGGTGGACTTGACATCCCGGGGGGGATTTCCAAAAGGAGGCGCTTTGTCCTGGACAAATCGAAAAAAAGCTCAACAGTTTTTGGGTTTTCGGGCTGCATGCTGGTGAAAGTGTGCTTTGCTGTTTGATTAAATTATCAGACGGCCCAAGTCTGCAGGTAAACATGAATTGCATCTTTAATTTGCCATGGTTAGCCTCAGACATTAACAAAGTTTGGTACCAGTGGCTTAAATCATTTAGTCATTTTGAGGATTTGGGTTTTATTTGCAAATCAATCATCTGGATCATATAAGTGTCTTAGCTAGAGGCTATTTAAAGTAATGGCTGAAGTAAGAACAAAAAAAATGTGTCAATGTCTTCTCTACCCACACACACACCCAAGCACCCTGTAGCAGTTATTCTGCTATGGTAGTTAGACAGTCCTATCCATTGCAAACCCTGGCTTTTATGGGTGCGTAACTTGGCCGTAAAAATGTCTCTGGGGTGTTTCATCAAGAAGCTCCAGAATGCATACATTTATGTGCATGGATGTGACACACATTTTCTTCTCATAATTTAACACAGGAATGAGGCCTTCTAGAAGTTGTTGGATGCCAAATCCTATCACGCCTCCAACCACTGGGCATGCTACCTGTGGCAAATGGGGGTTGGAGTCAAAAAATGTCTAGAACAGGGATGTCCAAAGTCTGTTCTGGGGTCAACATAATCTGGCCCGCCTGTCGGTTTTCAAGATCAACAACTTCAATCCTTAAAAAAGGTCAACAAGTTTGGTTGGCCCTTTGGTTGGCCCTCACGGCCCTTCACTTCATCAAATCTGGCCCTCTTTGAAAAAAGTTTGGGCACCACTGGTCTAAAGGGTTCCGGGTGCACCACCCCTGCTTTAAAGAGAACATGTGAGTTATAGCCAGTGCTTTTTTTAATATAAAAATCAGTCCCACCTTTTTTTGATGGACAATCCTAAGTTGTTGAGCTTCTTTCAGAAGGAAATCAAAGCTGTTGAATTTTTTTTAGGGAGCAACTTAAAACTCGCGTTGTGTTGCCTCACTTAAAGAGCTTCTTTCAGAAGAAAATAAAAGTGTCCTACACATCAGGCACCAGCTCTGTTAACTGTGTCACAATTTATCCTATGCATCTCTACCCCACAGCAAGTCCAGATGAAATTAGTGGGGTTTACTCCTCTTTATGCATGTCCAGGATTGCAGCCTTAGCATAACTTTCATTTCCTTTTGATGCTTTTCTGTGCTTTGAAAACATTTAGCAAGATCTGAGAGAGTACTTTACTGTGCTTTGTAAAGTGCTCTTAGTGGTAGCTGGCAAGAGCTTGGAAGCAATGTAATGGTGATGATTTCTAGCACAATCTGTGGCAAGGATGTGTAGAATCTCTTACCTTGCAAAAGAAAAAAAATTATGATGGTGTTTATTATTGCTTTTGCTATTATTATTATTATTATTATTATTATTATTATTATTATTACTGTTATAGTCGGTAACAAGCATCTACACAATTGCTCACTTTGCAAAAGAAAAAATGCCTAATCAGCTCACCCCCAACTGCTTTATTCATCCCTGAATATCTCAGAGAGCACTTTCGTTCCTTCCTTCTCCTTACCCCACCGCCCTCCTGCACTGTTAAGTAGTGAAGGATTTCATGCTTGTTTAAAAACTGATAACAAGTGATAGTTTGTAGCAACAGCACTCATAGCAGCCCCTGGGGCTTAGGTCTATCTGTGGAATTCTAATTCAGGGTTCCATAGGCAGCTGGTTTTCTCCCCCCCCCCCCCACTAGCAGCCTGCCCCAAACTCACAACACTTTATAAGGAATTATGTTTTTCTCCATCCTTGATATGTGGCCCATCTTCACAGTACATATTCCCTAATTTAGTATCCATAATCTTTTTCTTTATTTTTCCCCCCAACAGGGCTACAGGAAAATATTCAGCTCATCCTTTGAAATAAAATTTGAGGTTCCAGAGTATTCTACTTTTAGTGTGTGTGTGTGTGTGTGTGTGTGTGTGTGTGTGTGTGTGTGTGTGTGTAATCTATTAATGTTGTTCAGGGCTTAGCCTTTGAGCTAAAAAAAAAAAAGCAGTATTTAATCATACTACAATACCCCAAAGCCCAGACCTTCTGCAGCCCTCGTCCTGAAATCCCAAGAAGCTGAATGTTAGAAGAGTCAACACTAAAATCCTGTGATTCTGTAGGACAGATAAAAAGAAGTACTTCTTCATGCAGCACATAGTTAAACTGTGGGACTCACTTCCACAGGAAGCAGTGATGGTTACCAATGCAAATGGCTTTAAAAGAGGATTTGGGAAATTCATGACGGATAAGGACATCAGTGGCTACTGGTTATGATGGTGACTATTATCTGTTTCCACAACTGGAGGCAGTAATGCATCTGATGGGCCAGTAGCTGGCAACCACAGGAGAAGAGAGTGCACTTCTGCTGGGGTCCTGTTTGGAGGTTTGCCACAGACAACTGGTTGGCCATGTGAGAATAGGATGCTGGAATGGATGGACCAGCAGCCAGGCTCATATTTTGCTCCTAAGCTACTCACCATGATGGTTGTGTGCTATCTCCGCTGTTGGAGGCAGTATACCTATAAATGCCAGTTGTGGAACCACAAGTGGTGAGGGGGCTGTTGTGCTCAGGTCATGCTTGTGGGCTTCCTGGGGGCATCCAGTTGAGACAGGATGCTGGACTAGATAGGCCACTGGCCTGATTCAGCAGCCAGGCTCTTCTTTTGTCCTTATCTCTCCAGCAAGAGGCATTATCACAACTGAAGGACACGTTTCAAACAGGCATACATATTCAAGGAGGGCACAGAGCATAGGCAATGATATGTTTATTGCCTGCAGAGAGTCCCAGGGCCTGAACAGAGAGGCTGGGAGGGCTGCATTTGACCCTGGACCTGAGGTCCCACACAGCTGCTCTAGACAGTAAGAATGAAACAGAATTATTTCTTATTGGTGTCAAGGCATTCACTTAAAGCATGTAAAGGGTGAAACGGGGACAGGACAGGGGTATTGCATGCAAGCCACAAATCTTGCAATCACTGGTCCGGTCTTCTGGCTTTTGAACAGTTAGTACAAAGTTCTGAAGAGGGTTCTTTGGAACATTCAGTTGATGTTGAAGGGTTGTAGCTCAGTAGCCTTGCAAGCAGAAGTTCCTAGGTTCAACTCATGAAGGCATCTCCAGGTAGGGCTGGGAAGGACTCCCTCCCTAAATCCTGGAGAGCTGCTGCCAGTTAGTGTAAACAATACTGTGCTTGATGGACTCAGTTTAAGGCAACTTCCTACATTCCCATGTTAAGTTAATGCTTTTGACTAATTGTTGATTTCCCACTTGTACACTGCTGTTCATATGTTTCTTATACATCTTTTTGGCCTTTGTGGAATTTTGACTCATCAGTCTGGTTTTGATTGCCAATGCTTTGGCTGGTTTCTACACAGCCTCAGTCACATTCTTGAAAAGGCAGCCTATAAATAATGTAAATGGAATGAATGCATAAATCTACAAGTTGTGCCTATAAAAATGACTAGGGTTTTTTACACAATATGTGATACAAACTAGGAGTTTTTAGGCTGCATACTTCTTTTTTTACACTGGGTATGCTGTGATGAGGAAAGTCTTTGATCTCTGCTCTGTTTGGCAGTGAAAGGAAATAGCTCAAGGATAGTCAAAGAAGAGGCCATTTAGAGACAAATAAGAGATAGGGTGAAGGTCAGGCTGGGCGAAGGAAGCATGTGTGTGGCAGACTGTGTTTAATGCCTGATTCCAAATTGCATTTCCCCCCATTTAAATGGGTCACATTTCTCCCCCAACCCACTAAAAATGACCTCCCCCCCAAAAAAAATCCAAAGATCAGTGTGCATTGCTATTTCAAATTCAAGTGCACAGTTAAATCAAACCATCTCAAGGCAGCAACCCCTCAGAAATTGTGTGTGTGTGAGAGAGAGACAGTACACATTGCCAAAAGTGTTGGTGAAATTTCTGCTGCTGCCACTTATGCATCTAAGTAGGCAGTTTGCTAGATATTTTGTTCAGTTGCATTAGTAAGTGCTGTGGCTACTCCAAATACACCCTCCAAAGCTGAGAAAATAAGGAGGAAATGCCATAGCTCAGTGGTAGAGAGTACCTGCTTTGATTGAAGAAGGCCCTAGGTTCAATCCCCAGCATCTCCAATATGGCTGTGAAAGATCCCTGCCCGAAACTCCAGAGAGCTGCTGCCAGTCAGTGTAGACAATACCAAACCATGGACCCATGGTTTGACTTAGTATAAGACAAGTTGCTTCATTTCATAGCTTAGTGGTTGGGCACCTGCTTTGCATGCAAAAGGTCTCAGGTTCAATCCCCAGCATCTTCAGGTATGACTTTATGGGACCCCAATTTGAAAGCCTGTGGAGCTTCTGCCAGCCAGTGTTGGCAATACCAAGAAAGATGGACTAATGGTCTGACCCAGGCATGGAAGCTTCCTATATAATGCAATGGATATAATGCAGTATTAGGTACCTTCCCATTCCCTCAGACATACCCTCCCTTCTTTCCTTCTGCCGCAAATTTCTACTGAATGGCAATCAACATGTTAACTACTATTTCAAAGGTACTTCCAGATTTAATTGTGGGAGAAAGAACAGATGAGATTTTCCTACTAAACTTTTGTCCTCATTGTACAATGTCTTTAACTCCATCAACCTGATGGCACTGGTGTTTCCAAAACTCTCTTCTCCTCACTTCTGTGTTAATATCTTTAACCTGACAGCCCAAAGAGGCATTTCCATGCATTATTTATATATTGCTCCTTAGCCAGAGTCCAGAATCTGTATGTTAGTTTTATTAAATCACATTGCAACTTGATAATCATCATTTTATTTGCACAACCTGCAGCCTCTGATACTTTGCTCAAGACAATAATTTTAAGACAATAATTTCATAGACTTGCTCTCTTTTGTTCTAATAATATGCTGGAGTATGTAAAGGCAAACATATCCGTGTAGGAAATTAATCCTATGTTAACTCCCCTTCCAGTCATTCTGATTTGAGTAGGTTTTGTAAAACAACACTCAAGCAGTGTATAAATCTGTTTGGAGTGGGATAGCAAGAACATGTGCCGTTTAACCCCCTCCCCATTTTCTTTTTTACAGTAAGAGAACTGACCCTATGTGTAGATCTTTACTTGCCTAGGGTTTATCTTTGTAGTTGGAAACCTGGTTTTTCAGGGGTATGCAAAGAGAAGTTATGTGGATATGTTTGTCCAGGATTGTGTCCCTGCTTCAACAACTGTGACGATCTGGAAGTTTTCTCCCCTGTGCTGAGGTGGGGAGCTGGTGCTATGAGTTGCTATCATGTTGGCAGGACAACAAAGGTGGGGCCTCAACTTACAAAAGACTTGATTGCCTTGTGAGAGGGTGGCTGCCTCCCAAAAGATTGTTCTACAAGCAGCAAAATATTTGAAAAATGGGGTTGAGATGCCAAGGAGGAAACTACTATTGTCATCACTCCATGCAGGGCTGGAGAGGAGGAAGAGGATTTGGGTGAATTTAAACCCCTTCATGGGACGTGAGTGGCGCTGTGGTCTAAACCACTGAGCCTCTTGCGCTTGCTGATCAGAAGGTTGGTGGTTTGAATCCCTGGCAGCGGGGTGAGCTCCTATTGCTTGGTTCCCGCTCCTGCCAACCTAGCAGTTCGAAAGCACGCCAAAAAGTGCAAATAGATAAATAGGTACCACTCTGGCGGGAAGGTAAATGGTGTTTCTGTGTGCTGCTCTGGTTTCACCAGAAGCGGCTTAGTCATGCTGGCCACATGACTCAGAAAAACTGTCTGTGGACAAACGTCGGCTCCCTCGGCAAGTAAAGTGAGATGAGCGCCGAACCCCAGAGTCGTCTGCAACTGGACTTAACTGTCAGGGGTCCTTTACCTTTACCTTCTTAAACCCCTTCATCTCCATAGCTCAGACTACTGGGTGGAGAGTGAGACACGGGGAGGACAATGTGGTGGAACTGAGGGACACAGGGCTCCTGTGGCCACAAGGACATAGGATCCTGTCTTAGACCTGTGATGCGATTCACACCATACACTTAAATTGCTATGATATCACTTTAAACAGCCTTGGCTTCACCCAAATATTTTGGGGTGCTGTAGTTTGTGAAGAGTGCTGTGAGTTGCTACGAGGCCCCTATTCCCTTCCCAGAGCTTACAACCTCCTGAGTAGTTTAACAATTCATCTCTCTTCACAGGAAACTTGGGAATTGTAGCTGTGAGCGGGGGATAGGGGTCTCCTTAACTTCTCTCAGCATCCTTAGCAAACTTTTGGGGAAGTCGTGGCTGTTTAAACTAGCATGGTACTGTTTAAAATGTATGGATGTGTCAGGCCACTGGTCCATGCAGCCGAGCATTGTCTCTGACTAGCCATGACTGCCCAAAGACCTGGGAGTCTTTCCCAGTTCTCGCTGGAGCCACCAAAGACTGAAACAAAGACCATGTGCCAGCAAAATATGTGATCTGCCACTGAGCTAGAATGCTGTGCTTCAGTTTTATTATGGCAGGATAAGGGGGGAAATTGCATGCTGGGGAGCAGACACAGTTTGGGGGAAAGTGCTGTGTGCTAGAAACAGATAGATCTGGCCACTCTTGGTCCTTGCAGATTTGTGGTTATTAGTCAGTGACCTCCACTCCTAAGAATAGCATGCTATTTAACGCTAAGGTGCCATCTTTGATTGTTGCAGAGTTCCAGAGGTGTACAAACTAGAGTAAGATTAGTGGTGAATCATACCAAATAAGAGGAATTAATTGTTGAAAGCTCAACCTTTCCCCTGGATAGTGGCATAGATGCAGCGTTTGATAAAGACGATACATTTTCATGTGCTCTGTGCTGTTTTGCAACAATGGAAAAGGGTTACCATAGTAATTCAGAATAAAGTATTACATTTCACTCGGTTCAAGGAAAACAATATATTTGAGCGAAGACTAATTACCTCTTTTTTTATTCCAGGTGACAAAAGCCAATATATCACACTTAGCCACTAAGAGAACTCCATTTCAGTAAACTAATTAAACTAATCCTATCTGCACTCATTATTCTCAGTTCTACTAAATATTTTAACAGGGTAGATTTATTTTGTTACATAAATTACATCATACTTAAGGAAAACAGTTTGCAGTTTGACTGTGTTATTTTGGGATTTTTAAAAAAAAATCTTGGTTGAGAAAAAGTGCTAAATGAAATAATTTTATAGGCCATTTTGAGGCTTGCAAATTATTGTCAGTATAGCTCCTTTAGAATGTGATTGCTTTAATGAACTCCTATACTCTCCTTGTCATTTCAGTTGATAATTTCCAATGCTCTTTCTGTTTATTTATTTATTTATGCATGTATCTATGCATCTGTTTTATTCAGCCTTGTGAACCCCCTCAGTGTCCCAAGGCATCTTGCAGTCAAAATACTTGAATCTTAAATACAAGTTTTTCTTTAAAAAACACAAACTCTTAAAAATAAGAGTCTGGCTGTGCATAGATCATCAAATGTCAGATTAAATAGCATGTCCCAGGGCAGAAATGAGTTTTCCCCAAGGGTCAGTCTGAGAAAGGAGCAAGGTGAGCTTTCTGCTGCCTTCATACACCATCATCCACTATTAATATACCAAACAAAAATTCTTCTTTGCTCCCCTGGGCTAGTGACTTGTTCATGCTAATCTGTATTAACCAAATCTGGTAATCAGAATCACTGTGCCTAAAGGATTGTCTCCTCCTGTATCAATCCAGCTCCACTGATTAAGATTAGGAACATAGGAAATGACCTTATACTGAACCAGGTTTTTGGTTCATCTAGCTCAGAACTGTCTACTTTGCCTAGCAGTGGCTCTCCAAGGTTTCAGCCAGGCTGGGGGTCTCTCCCAGCCCTGCTTGGAGATGCTGAGAATTGAATGTATAACCTGTTTTATGGGAAGCGTATGCTCTGCCATTGGTCCATGGCTTTTCCATAGCAGGGGACTATTATTTGCCATGTTCTACTAGTGACAGAGATGTTGCTGGCTGGGAAAGCTTCCAGCCTTCCTGTGTAGGACTCCTATTTATTAACATATCTATTAGTAATAAAGAAGTCAGACTGCAGGTAGTCATATTGGTCTTTGGGGTGGAATTAGTAGCTTGCTCAATACTTTGTAATATTTTAAATGGTTTTCAGAAAGTTATCACCTTATTGTCTCTCTTGGATTTAGTACTATTAGCAGTACTGCCTGGAGTCTGTGGGTGACGATTATTCTAGATAAACGTACATGTAGAAAATAAGATTCATTAATAATTGTCAAGGTAGATAGGAAATTTTGGTAACATTTTTATACGTAGGGTGCAGGGGTTTTGTTATGCCTACATTACTTTCCCTGTGACCAAGGTACAGTTAACAGTCAGCTAGTCTGGTGCTTCAGTACCTTGGACAGTTCCTAAGGACAGTGGAAGATGCTTCAGCAAAGCCAAAGATCAGCCGAGTCCTTATATTACCCAGTATGGCCTCCCAAAGCCCTACCTTTTGAGTGAAGCTGCAAGATATTTCAGTATGTTTCCTCACACCTTGGAATTGTGCATTTTGGCACATTTGAAAGGCTCCAGAAGTGCTGTCTGGCTTCTGCAGATGGCATCTTTGGTAGAATGAAAAACCTTGGACAGCTGATGGGTTGCATGATGCTTAAAAAAGATGTCACAGAAATGAGCTGCCTTCCAGATTTCTTGTAATTCTTAATGTAATCTAAAAGGAATAATAGGAAACCATAAACTAAGTAGGGAGGGCAATGTTGGAGGGAATGTTTCCCAGTACTGTTATTCTGATCTGAAACCCCCTCTCCAAAGTTGCTGTTTGCCCCATGGTAGCCATAGAGATCACCACACCCAGAGAGAAAGAGAGAGAGAGAGAGATCTAGGTTCCAACATCCCAAACTCTACAATCCTTTGGATTGCATGGTAATCTTTGTCTGCCTTTTAGCAGTGAACAGGAATAAGAGGGAAAGTCATTGCAAGTTCTAGATATCTCACAAGCACTTCCATAATCGCACTGTTTCAACAATATGTTTATTTATTATGCTTATATAATTCCATAAGAAGAGTTCTGCTGGATCAGTCTAGTGGTCCATCTAGTCCAACTTTCTGTTTCTCACAGAGGCCAACCAGGTGCCTCTTCTGGAAAGCCCACAAG